TTTTTAAGTAGCCTCCAAATTTTTTTCCAGAAATGGATTTGGGTGGAGGGGAGAAGAGTCAGTTCATTCTGGAAAAATAACCACTATTGTTTTCCTAATCTTCAGCATACACAAATTAAACACACAGCTGCTATATAGAATTTGTATAATTCCTAAGTGCTGGAGCAGTAACAGTATCTAAATACAATTATATTTTTAAACTCTGGGTCAAGACTTTATATAAAAATATCATCCTATTTTTCTGTCTTAAGTTTCTAAGTTACCATATACTTTCCTCAACATCTGCAGCCATCCAGGAATATTTTTTAAAAACTTCTGTGCACAGTCTTAATTCCCATCCCTGGCCTTTGGGCTCAGTGACAGAAGATCAAAAGTGAGGATGAAAAGTGCTGCTTCCTGCAGCTCTCCATGTAGGAGGACACCGGAAGAATTTCATCAACCAGTCAGTCATCTGTTCAGCATACATGTGCTTGCATGGCAGAAGCCAAATTGGGTTCCTGGAAGAAAGGCCATCACATAGACCACACACTCGTGGATCTTTTTTTCTGATCCATCTCTTTCAGGGTCATAAACAACTGTAGGCAGGTGCTGTTTAAGGCCTGTTGTTTGAGCTGACTCTTTAGTCAGCTGAGTCTGGCTAGGTGTTGAATGATAAATGGGAGCTAGAACTTGTTCCTCTTATGGGAATGGGCTGCATCCAGCTCTGTCCCCTTGCCAAAGCTAGCCCAGTTGGCCTGAGACTGTGAAGGGGGAGATGTCATCTGAGGGAGGGAGGACGTGAGGCATGTGTCCATCCTTCTGAGCTGGGGCACATGATCTCTTACTGTGCACTGTTCTGCCAATCTTTTCTGGTGGAGGCATTTTAACAATCCCATGAACATGGGCTTCTATACATTTCTTTATTCTTGTTTCTCCCAGCAGAGGTGTTACAGTTCTCAGTGTACAAGTCTTCTACTTTCTTGGTTAAGTTTATTTCTAAGTATTTTATTATTTTTTATTTCTATCGTAAGTAAAATTGTTTTCTTAACTTCCTTTTCATTGTTCTTTGATAATTTTTAGAAGTGACTTTTTCTTTTTTTTTGGTGGTACTTTGAACTTAGGGTTCTAAGTGTGCTACCACTTGAGCCATGCCCCCAACCCTTTATTGCTTTAGTTGTTTTTTGAATAGGATCTTGTGTTTTTTGATTGGGGTAGCCTCTATGCCTCTCATGTAGCTGGAACCATAGGTGCACGCCACCATGCCCAGCTTTGTTTGTTAAGATGGGGTCTTGCTAACTTTTTGCCTGGGCTGACCTTGAGCTGCAATCCTCCTGATCTCCACCTCTGATTATATGGGATTGTAGGAGTGAGCCAACATGCCTGTCCATAAGTGATTTTTGAATGTTAATTTTGTGTCTTGCAATTTTGCTGAATTTGTTGTATTCAAGTTTTTTGTGGGATCATTAATGTTTTCTACATGCAAGATCATGTTGTTTGCAATCAGAGATAACTTTACTAGTTTATAATTTGGATGCTTTTTATTTTTGACTTCTGGTTGTTCTGGCTAGGACTTCCATCCAGGGTTTGATGAATCAAGTTACCAAACCTTGTCTTGTTCCTGATCTTAGTGGAAAAGCTTTTAGCCAGCCATTTTTAAATGGGATCTTTAAAAGTATTTTCTGGAGCATTTTGTTCATGAAAACAACTTGCCAGGTAGTCTACTCTTTCTGAACGGCTCGTTATATTGGTGACGGATGACATACGTGACAGCTACCTACAACCCCCCAGTGTGTCTCCGTGAGGGCAGTGTTATTGGCAGTTCGGGTGGACAGCTCTTCCATGGGATTACTGTGTGCGTTGCAGAATGTTCAGGTCTTGGGGACTAAATGCTGGTAGCGTTCTTGATCATTGTTTCAACCAGAATTCTTCTGCACTCATCTCCTTAAATGCCTTTTCTTTATTGCAGTACTGGGGTCAAACCCAGGGCCTCATGTATGGCTAGGCGAGCACCCTGCACTGGGCTACACCACTAACCCTTCTCAAATACCTCTTGAGTGACAGTGGAGAACCAGTTCTTTCTTTCAACCTAAGCTAGAGCACAGTCTTCTTACTGGACCTACACATGTGTAGACTTACTTTTTTTTTTTTTGCGGTACTGGGGTTTGAACTCAGGGCCTACACCGTGAGCCACTCCAGCAGCCCTTTTTGTTTTTGTTTGGTGATGGGTAATTTTGAGATAGGGTCTCTTGAACTATTTGCCTGGGCTGGCTGCCAACTGTGATCCTCCTGATCTCTGCCTCCTGAGTAGCTAGGATTACAGGCGTGAACCACTGGTGCTGGGCAGACTTACTTTGATCATGGAACCAGAAGTATGTAGATACTCTCACCTAGGCCCTATACTATTATCTTTAGCCTCTTAACAGTGGGGAGGCCTTATGATAGGTCAAAGTGGGTGAAGTGAGAAGTAAGAAGAATGGATTATATTTGGGACAAAGATAAAGGGTGTCTGTCTCACTGGACTACAATAATAGGATAAGGAAAAATGAGTCCTTTAATAAGCTTAAATATTTATAGTTACCTTTGCAATTGTTTGCTAATGTTTATTCTTAGGCTTTGTTCATCCAACTCATTTGGATTACACAAGGGCACAGTGTGTAACACAACACAGTGGAACAGAAGTTTCTTCTTTTCAGAATTTTTACCATTTAGATTTAGTCTCTGAAATTGGAACATAGGTTTTCATTACTGAAAGGTACAGATGGTTCTGAAATATCATTTAGCATTGGAAGGGTTTCAACTGGGGGAATCTGGCAGCTGCAGAGGTGTAGGTGTTTCAAGGTAATCGTTTTACCAGAACACAACCAAGAAATGTTCCTGAAAGATTCTCAGATTTTAATTAAAATAGTATGAATATTGTCTTTTTAAATAATTTTTATGCATTACTTTTGTGTATCTCTGGTGTGGTTGTTAGTACTTGATTCAGACTTTTCTGACTTTTAGGGTTCGGTAGATGCAATTTTGGCATTTGTTCAGCCTAAATTTTCTGGTTATTGTCTACGATATTATATATGAGAAATACATATTGGTCTTTCATAATTCCTGCACAAGAGCTAGCTATTCTTGGAAACCCTTGGAATTGCTTGAGTGATAGGGTTAAGATGAGTGTCTTTTGTCAGCCAGCCATATCTGATATCTGAGTTTTTCTGGTGAGGTAACTCTAGATGGGCCTCTAGACAGTGCTAGAGTTACAGATTACCCCATGTTCAGGCAATCCTCCAGTGGTATGACTTGCCGTTAGGTATTTGTTTGTTCACAATTCTCAGTCCAGATATAGTCTGCTTGTTCAGAGACTTTTTTTTTTTAAAGCCATAAAGCAGTATTGCTGATATCAAGTCATCTTCATGGAATTTCCAGAAATGTAAAGGTGAACCCAAGGGCAGTTGTGGGAGGAGAGAGGGTTTTGTGACCCCTTGACTTGCTGTCTTGGATTTCTAATACTTTTGCATTCGGATGGTTTACTTTCTTATTTTGAAATGATTTCTAGCTTACAAAGAAGTTAAAAGAATAGTACAAAGAACTTACCATATACCTTATACTCAGATTCACAAACCTGGGCTTACAATGTGGGTAGCATTGTTGCCACATTGACAGTATGAGTCTGTCTGTGAACTAGTTAAAAGTTCTCAATATCACCTCTTCTCACCTAATACTTTGGTATGCATTTTGTAAGAACAAGACATTTATAAAATTACCATACAATTATCAAAATCAGAATCTTTACATGAATGTAAATCTGATACCTATCTAACATACAACTCTTATTCAGATTTCACCATTTGTAACAGTGACCATCATAATTTTTTATTCCTGGTTCAGAATCCAATCCAGGGTCACATTACATGTAGTTTTCTTGTCTTTCTCGTCTCTGATAGTCCCTCAGTCTTTCATGGTATTGGGTGTGAAGAGTGTAGGATATATTTTGTAGAATATTCTTCATATTTTCTCATGATTAGATCCAGATTATCCATTTTAGAGAACAATGAGTACCACAGAATTTTTGTCACATTTGAAGGCACATGGTATTACTTATTGATTGACTGATTGATTGGTGGTACTGGAGTTTGAAATCAGGGCCTCCAGCTTGCTAGGCAGCACTCTACCATTTGGGCCACTTTTCTGTGTTGGATGTTTTCTAGATAGGGTTTCTTGAACGATCTGCCCGGGAGCTGGCTTCAAACCATGATCCTACTGATCTCTGCCTCCCTAGTAGCTAGAATTACTAGTGTTGCTTTATACCATTAATTTTGCTAATTTATATCACTTGATTTAAATTGTATCACCAGCTTTCTCCACAGTAACTTACTGTTTCTCCTTGGTAATGAGTAAGTTATCTGTGGGGCTACTATCTTGAGACTATGTAAATACTCTTTTCCTAATCCTACTTTAACCCACTTCAGGTTGAGTATTCTTGTCGGAAATGCTTGGGACCAGAAGGGTTTGGAAATTTTTGAATTTTGGAATATTTGTATATGCATAGTGAGATATCTTGGGCATGGCACGCAAGTCTACACATGAAATTCATATGTTTCATATATACCTTATACACATAGTCTGAAGGCAATTTTCTATAGTATTTGTAGCACACCTATATTTTGACTACAACCCATTCATGAGTCAGGTATAGAATTTTCCACTTAATGCTATTATATCAGTGCTCAAGAAAGTTTTGGATTTTGGGGCATTTCAGATTTCTGGATAGGGATGCTTAACCTGTAGTTTTTACATCCATTGATAACTTTTGCCTGCAACTAAGGGCTTATATATCCATCCAGTTGACTGGTTATTTTAAGTTCGCTTTCTGGGAAATTATTTTCCATGGTTTACCGTTCTGAACTAGCAGCCAGTAATCACACAAAGCCCATTAGACTGTATAAGCTGCAGCTCACAATTCGTAGTTCTTGGTTATTGGTATCTGTAAGATGTAGGGAATCAAGATTTTTAGCATGTCAACTCTTCTTTAGGTGTTTACTGCAGTCTGGAGGCAAGATCTTTCCTCAGTATGTGCTGATGTTGGGGATGCTTGTGGAGTCACAGACGCTGGTGGAAGAGAATGCTGTTCAAGGAACAGAATGTACACTTGGGTTAAACATAGCACCTTTTATTAACCAGTTTCAGGTAAGTGTTTAGAAAAGAAGTTTGATCAGGATGCTATTGTCTACAATCTACTCTATCTCTTTTTTAGTTTTATTTAGTCACTGTTTAGCTGGATTAAAATGGTAATCAGTTTCCTAGCATGAAGGAATTTACGGGTAAAAATCAGTCTAGGGTTTAGAATGCCAAGGTCATTAGAGTGACCATGCATATTAATATGGATATTTATGGAAATTTCTGTGAATCACTGTTACAGATGAAAAGTAGGACATTGGGCTTAAGTCTTGTGAAGAAATGTGTATAAATGTTGTCTAAAAACAAAACATCTACAAGATCTGTGACTTAAACTTGAAACTTTACAATTGAGACCTCAGTTGATAGGTGTGAGCAGCTAAAGTCATCCTACTACAGGTGACACAGGAATGTAGGAGTGAACTCAAAGCAGAGAGGTTCATTTCTGTCTAGGAGAAAGGGAGCCAGGACTTAGAAATGAGGGCAAAACTGACCCAGGCACTAGCAGGAAAGTATGCATTCAGTTTTGTGGTAGTGGATGAAATGTCCAGGGAAGAGGTTTGTGGTTGAAAATGGGGGAGGTAGGTGGAATACTTCCAAATATATTGGCCAAACAAGAATTTGGGGAAATGGGAAGCTGAGTACAATGGAGTGACATGTAACTTTCATCTGTAGGCTGAGGTAGAAAGCTCTTGTGAGTACAGTGAGACCTCTGTGGATAGCACCTGTTCCATGAATCTAAATTAGCTGAGGAATTGCTTTTTCAGGGCTGGCTAACTAATGTTAGTTATATTAATCTCAGTTTTTGGAGGGTTTAATAAGAACAGACACTTACCAGATGATAGGGGAGTTTAAAATATTTGTTTTTTTTTTTAATTTTTCTTTAAAATATTTCTTTGTTTGGTGTCAAAATACCCCCATCTCCTATCTAGTTTATTCTTTCTTGATCCTGGCACCAGTAATTCTTTGATTCTATCAGAACCGATACTGTTGATCCTGCCATCTCTTCACTACAGTTCTCATCTCATATCCTCTCCTCATTCCTTAACAGCTTATAGTCAGCGAACTCTGTATTTTTCATACAACTTTTCATATAATTTAAAAATTACAAATTTCTCTTCATTTTTTTCCTACTGTTCTTGGGAAAGCCTACCTTGGAAAATTCCACCCTCTGTGTTCACTACACGAATACTCTATAGTTGGCCCATACTCCTGGGTTTTCCCTTTAGTGAATATCCACTCATACCAAGAAGCTCCATAATCTTTCCTGATTGTTTTACACTTTGTAGTCTATCCATTCATTTTCTTAGATATTATTTTCTCCTCTTCAAATATAATGATTATTTGACTGTTGGACAATGAAGTAAATCAGTGAAACAAAGTAAGAAATTGCTAAAGTAGTACAATAGAGAAAACCACTATATTCATTCAGTAAGTGTTTACTGAAATGTCTACTACATGCACTGTTTTAGATTTTGGGAGTATGGCTGTGGACTAAGTTTGTGCACTTACGGAGCTAGCATGCACATTGGTAGAGATAGAAAACAAAAATAAAAATGTTAGCATGACAGAGGGTGAGAAGTGCAATGCACAGAAAGAAAGTTAAGGGAATATGGTATAAATACTATTTTATATGGGTTGCATCTAAGGGAAAAATTCCAGCAGAGACAAGAAAGAAAAAGGCAGGAAACTGTACACAAGTCAAAGTATTAACAAATGGTCTGAGGCAAGCACCTGTTTGGGTTACTCAGAAATAGCAAAACGGAACCATGATGGAATTGTGAGAAAATGCATTCAGAGAGGTTGAGGCCATATGCTGTGGAACCTTTGGCTCTCATGAGGACTTTGGTCTTTACTCTAAAAGGGGCAGGAAACAAGTGGAGAGTGTTGAACACGTGTGTGACATGATTTGACTTGGGAAGCCAGGCAGAGATACAAGCTTAGTGTGAAAAGCGAGAGGTGGTAGTGACTTAGGCTAGACTTGCAGTAGTGGAGGTGGTACGGTGGTCAGATTCTACATGTATTTTAAAGGTAGGTTTTTCTGATAGATGTGATGAGGTATATGAAAGAAGGCTCCATGTTTTTTTTTTTTTTCTTTTTCTTTCTTTTAGGTTATAACACTTGGAAAGATAGTTATCATTTACTGATATGGGAAAAATGGCGGATCAGGCTATTTGTGTGGTAGGGATCATTGAGCAGTTGGATAAGGGTTCAGAGAAAGCTCTAAGCTACAGATATAAAGTTGGCAGCCCTCAGCATACAGATAGATGGTATTTAAAGCCTTAAAAATAGATGAAACCTCCTGGGGAGAAAGTTGAGACCAATCTTTAGAAAACTTAGAAAGATATGAGCTCTGGATTGGTTATCAGCTGGAAGGGGCTGACCATGATGACAGAAGCAGCCAGAAGGTCATGTTGAGAAACAGAAGTGAGGACAGATGATGAGGGTACAGATGTGAGGGAATTAATGAGTCCAGGAGATGGGAAGTAACGTGGGACTCTAGGGCTTTTTTGGTGACTGATTTAAACAGGAATAAAATCATAATGGAGAGTCCTGGAAATGGAGTGGGGCCACTGTGAATTTTTTTTTTGCGGTGCTTGGGTTTGAACTCAGGGCCTATACCTTGAGCCACTCTACCAGCCCTTTTTGTGTTAGATATTTTCAAGATAGGGTCTCACAAACTTATTTGCTTGGTCTAGTTTTGAACCTGTGATCCTCCTGATCTCTGTCTCCTGAGTTGCTAGGATTACAGGCGTGTACCAACAGCGCATGGCCTACTGTGAATTTTTATGGCAAAGAAAGGTTGTATGCTTTCAGGGGTGCTTAGCTAGAGGTTGAGGTTTATGTGGCCTGCTTCACCATGAAGGTTGGACTTTTAATATTTTACAAAAAAGAAAATCAGCTTTTAAGCAACACTTTACTCTCTAGTTCAAATGAGGAAGAGACTAGAAGCTATTAATAGCAGGGGTCCATTACAACTCATATCGATAGAACACTTAGTGCCACTGGTTCTCCCTTTGTGTTCTGGGAATATCTGAGGACTTTGAGAACTATTGATACCTGGAGCCTGATTCCAGATTAGTGTAGATTGTAGGCCTTTTGAAAGCTTCTTACATGATTTTAATTTGATCCAGGGTTGAGAACCACAGCTTTCTACAAATAACTTTTTCAGATTATCTATTTGGTGAATTTTTGGCATCTTTTATACTTATTAATTCACAAATCCTAGGTTTAAAAAGTTTTGGAGCTGCTTGGGTAAGTAAAATTTTAATCTGCTTTCATCCAAGTGGAAGATCTACAGATAACTGAAATCATAGCAAAATATTTAACCTGCCTGGACCTTAGTTTGTTCACTCTTTCTGTAAAACGGGAATGATGAAAGTCTTTATGCTGTAAGTTGATGGGGACTGTCAATGAGGTAATAGATGTAAAAAGCATTCTGTCATCCTGAGCCAAGTGTAGATCAAGTACTTGATGAGCCCTGACCATAAAAAGAATGAATAAAAGCGAAAAATATACACTTTTTCCTAGGTGCCTATCCGTGCGTTTTTGGAACTATCTTCTTTGCCCTGTATACCTTTAAGCGAGCCAGTGGAACTCTTAAGATTAGATTTGATGACTCCGTATTTGAATACCTCCAGCAGAGAAGTAAAGGTAAGGACAGTATGCAATGTGATTACTCTTGAATATTCAGAATAGTTATCTTAAACTAGTAATACTCTTTATATTAGTTGCTTCTTTTAAAGATTTAAGTCTTCTAAACAATGAACAAAAATGAATGAGTAATTAGTGAATAAAACAGGATACCATTAATTTGAATTGAGTGAGTCAGTATATTTTTAAATTTTTGTATTTAAAATTGACTAAAAAGGGAAAGAAGACTTATCCATCTGTTTTCCCTGATGATGTTTTTGCTGTCTGTTCCCATAGGTGCGCATTTGTAGACCTGGACAAGTGACTGCTATTCCGTTTTGGTTTCATATGTGCCTTGATGAAGAGGTGAGGTTGGACACTTCGAGTGAAACCTCGCACTGGAAACAAGCTGCCGTTGTTTTGGATAATCCCATCCAGGTGCAGACGGGACAGGAGCTCCTTGTCAGCGTTCAGCACCACAAAAGCAACGTCAGCATCACAGTAAAGCAGTGAGCAGTTTTCTCATGAAAACTGTTTGGCATCAAGTACAGAATTCTTGTCTGAATCAGTGGGACTGTAATCATAAAATGGGTGTCTAAATATTTAATCCTAGCTGCTCGGGAGGTAGAGATTGGGAGGATCACAGTTTGAGGCCAGCCTAGGCAAAAAGGTAGTGAGACTCCCCATCTCAATAAACAAGTGGGATGTGGTGATATATTCCTGAAATCTCAGCTTACATGGGAGGTATAGTTAGGAATATTGTGATTTGAGTCCTGCTAAGGCAAAAAGCATGAGTCCCTATCTGAAAAATAACTAAAGCCAAAAAGGGTTGGGGGCATGGCTCAAGCAGGAAAGCATCTGCCTCACAAGCACAAGGCCCTGCCTGAGTTCAAACCCCAGTAACACCAAAAAAAAAAAAAGACATTAGTAAAGCACATTTGAAAGATTCTAAATTAGCATTTTTTAAAAATATCGCTGCAGATTTGCCTTTTTGGAAAAGGATATACCATTCTTTTTTTTTAAATTAGAAAACTGTGTCTGTACCTTTATAAGGATTTTGAAAGTCTTAGCCTCATTGTCATGTGTCAGTAAAGTTTGAAGTGTTTAGGCATCTTGAACTCACTGTTGGGAATCACCAGATACAGGTGTGCACTGAAGACCAAGGGTGATGTCAACCCTAAGCTTGTTTCTTTCAGATTCTGTCATTAGAGTGAATGACTTAGGAGAGAGGGCAGTCTTCAGGAGGCACTTCTTCCTCATTACTTTGGCAAAGAAAAATTAAAAATTTAAATAAAAATAAAGAGTCAATACTAAACCAGTATTTTTTAAAGTTTTGATCTGGGTGCACGATAAGAAATGTAACCTGTCCCATTTGATAGACTTTTGAAGTGGGGAGATGAATAAGGAAGGCCACCACACTTGTGGGTGCTGTGCGCTTTTCCTACACCATGAAGCCTGCCTGTTGTCATCACCTCTGTTACTATTACATGACCCAGCTTCATGTTTTTTGTAAAAAGTAAAATTTATTGTGTATATTTGAGATATGCAACATGTAAAAAGGTCACTATCATGTACTACAAGTTAACGTACTCATCATTCAGTTACCTATTTTTTGCTTTATTTTTGTGGTGAGAACAGCTAAAATCTCATTTAGCATGATTTAGCAAAATTGTACATATAGTACAATTTTCTTACCTATTGTCGTCATCCTATACATTAGATCTCTAGATGTAAACAAGTCTGCTTTGTATCTGCTGACCTACATCTCCCCATGGTCACTGCCCTCAACTTACTGTTTTGTTCTCTGTATATCTGAGTTTTCAAATAGCAAGATCATATTGTTTTAAAATGTAGACTAGTATCCCATTGTCTATATACACCAGTTTTTTTTTAATCCGTTCCTCTGTCAATAGACATGTAGATTGGTTCCATATTGTGGCTATTGTGAATAAGGCTGTGATAGGTGAACATGGGGGTACATACCCAAAAGAGGTATTGCTGGGTCACATTGTGGTTCCACTTTTCATTTCTTTAGACCTCCATGCTCTTTTCCAAACTGGCTGTATAATCCCTGATGAGTAGTGATCAAGAGTTCCCTTTCCTCTACACCCTTGCCAACATTTTTTTGGTAATAGCCATCCAACAGACTTAAGGTCTCAGAGTGGTTTTGATTTGCATTTCCTTGATTAATGACGTCAAGCACCTTTTCACGCACCTGCTGGCCATTTTTATGTTTGTTTCCCCCATTTCTAATAGGGTTGCTTTTCTACTATTGAGATGTGTAAGTTCTTTATAATGTTAGATATTAAGCCATTAATGCCATTGTTTGAAAATATTTTTCCCATTCTGTAGGCTGCTGGGTTTATTTTTGTGTTGTTATTTTTTGGGCAGTTCTGCGGTTTGAACTCAGGGTCTCGTGCGCAGGTGTGTACTACCTGAGCCACCCTGCCAGCTTTATTTTTAGTGCTGAGTGTTTTTGAGAGTCTCACTTTTTGCTCAGGCTGGCCTCAAACCTAGATCCTCCTGATCCTGAGTAGCTAGGATTACCAGTGTGAGCCACCAGCATCTGACTAGGGTATTGTTTTATTTCATTATTTAGTTTGATGTACAGTGTCCCTCTATCCTTAGGGAATCTCTATTTATAGCACCCAATACAGCATAAGTACAATATAAATAGTTGTTCTGTATTGTTTAGGGGATAATGACAAAAAGTACACATTCAGTACAGATGCCATTTCCATTTTTCCAAACATTTTTACTCCAGCACTGGTTGAATCTGTGGGTATGGAATGTGTGGATCAGAGGGACCAGTCCCATTTTAGTTTTGCTTTTGTGGCCTAAGATTATGGTGTGATACCCAATAAGCCATGGCCAAGGCCACTGTCCAGGAGCTTTTCTTCTGTTCTCTTCTAGTTCTGCAGTTTGCTCTTACCTTGAGGTCTCTTCTACATATACTGATTTTTGTGTCTTTTGCATGTGGAAATCCCATTTTCCCAGCACAATTTATTGAAGATCTCCTTTCCCCATTGTGTCCACTTGGTTACACTTGTCAAAAATTGACTCGGTTTGGATTTCTGGGCTTTCTGTTCTGTACCACTGTCTTGGGTATGTGGTTTTTTTGGCAGTACCATACTGTTTTTGATTACTATAGCTAGGTAACTTAATTTTTTTTTTTTGAGGGAGGTGAGGTCTTACTGTGTTGCCCAGGCTGATGTCTAACTCCTGAGCTCAAATGATCCTCCTGCCTCAGCCTCCTGAATAAGCTGGGACTATAGGCATGAGCATCACATGCCCAGCTTGTAATACAACTTTAAGTTTAGAAATGATGATTCCTTTAACTTTTTTCCTTCTAATTGTTTTGGTTATTTTGGGTCTTTTATGTTTCCATGTGAATTGTCTTTCTGTGAAGAATGCCATTGGGATTTTGAATATGAATATTCCTTTGGTTAGTGTGGACATTAAAAAATAAATTCTTTCCATTTGAGTCTTCAGTTTCTTTCATCAGTGTTTTATAGCTTTTAGTTTACAGAGCTTTTACCTGCTTGGCTAAATTTATTCATAAGTATTTTATTTTTTGATGCTGTCATAAGTGGGATTTTTTTTTTCCATTTAGGTCATTATCTGTGTATAAAAATGCTACTAATTTTTGTATTTTGCAACTTTAAAATTTATTTGTTCTAACACCTTACATACTGTCAAGCTTTAGTTTCAATAGAAGTATTTAATTTATTAAATACTGGTAAATCTTTGTACCTGTGTATTAATTTATATATATGCACACACATGAATGAATGTGCATAAATGCATAAAGGAAAAGTTTTGAGAAAAAAACTCATTCTTGCTACCTGCAACCTGCTATGTCACTTTCTTTTGTAAATGTTAAATGACTAGCTAATACCAGTTGTGATTAGCAATTAGACCCTAAGTAATAAATTTCTCTCAGGTAACATACACATCTTTACTATGACTTAAAGAACGATCAGGATAACACAGCTGTGGTTTACATTTGCTGCAGTGGAAATTTTTTTTTACTTTTTTTTGTTATGCCTGTAATGAAGTTTTTGTTAAAACATTAAGATTTTACGTTTAAAGAATGAGAGACATAAAAGTTCCAGAAGATAAATGATAAATTCTTATTTACTGAAAGACATCTAGTTGAGAAATACAGAAATAATTTGCTAGGTGAGGTTATATGGCACATGATTATGATTACTCTCCATTAATTCATATTTCTGAATTAGGTCTCTGTCCAGAGCATTATGTTCGTGCAGCATAGGAAGCACTGATACTCTGTTATGTCCACCCTCTTCATAAAGCAGTGGGGCCAGGAGCATTCAGTTGTAGTCATCTTCTACAGTGTGAGTATGTGATACTCTAAAGTTAAGAAGTCAAGTCCAAGTGTAGGAAATTTAGACTGATTTTCTGTGATGTATAAAACTCACATATATAAATCCAGTAGTGGTACCTGGCTTTCACCTTTGTGTTGAAATTTCCCATCATTTACAGCTGGTCCCAAGCACAAAGTCCTGAACCGTGGGATACCAGCTAGTGAAATAACATGGCAACGGCACAGTTTGCATCTGCACACTGCTCAGGAGTCCGTAGATTTAGCTGAAGGCTCTCTGTTCCCTTCTGCAGTGTCACCAAGTATTTCTTCACATATCTTAGCTGTGGTAGGTGTAGTCTGGGGTGTCACAGTGTGTCCAAACCCTTGGTAGTGACCCACAGGTGAAGGTGGCATAGAAGAGGCGACAGAAATTGCATCTTGTGATGATGATGACAATAAGCTTGTATGTTCATTTTGATCTTGATCCTCAGGGAAAAATTTTTTTCTAGGATGTCCCCTGACTGTCCGTCCTTTAAAATAATATAAAGGTTTCCACATCAATCAAATTCTTTTTATCATTATAAAATGCTTCCCACTTCCCCCTTCTGCTCTCCCCTCAATCTGAAGAGCCTGTACCATGGTACTGCTTTAAACAGTTTTTAAAATTTCTTAAATAGCTACTGAATTGCCCTAGTGGGAGAACTACAATGAACTATATTTTTGGAAGAACTGAATGGCTGGTACTTACCAACATGCCTTACTTGTTCAGAAATGTCATCTCTGATATCTGAAACATCCCACATGGCAAGAAAAGAATCAAAGCATGAGCCCTCTTCTGCTTCTTGGACATAGGGTTTGTATGAGAATGTATAGTGGTGAGCAATAGCAGCAAGGAACATCTCGATGCAGATGATAAAGTCCTGTGATAGCAGCAACAAACCTATAAGCCATCTCCATGCTTAAATCTGGTTCCTAAACTGCTGTCTTTCTCCTACTAGTTTTCCAAAGTATGTAAGTACTGATAGCTTGTTCCCCAGATTATAGTCATGTTTTCATTTTCCAAAAGTATTTTTTAGTTCTTCAAAAAAAGAAGCCAAAATATAAATCTATTTTACATTACCCGAATCAAGTATTTCTTGGTAAAGTACACTGTATTCTCAATTTGTAACCCAATGACTGAAAGGAAGAATGCAGCAAGAAATGGACTACAAAGAACAAAAATGCAAGTTTTATTTCTGGTTTTGTTACAAATTAGAAATGACAGCAAATTTCTCTAGCCGATTCCTCACCTGAAGTATGGAGATAATGGTTGTAGCCATGTTTAGTGAAGGCAGATAGTGACAGTGCTTAATAAATAGTATGGTTCTGTGCAGTTCAGAGAAGCTCTACTCACCTGAAGTCCAGTGGCCACAGCTTCTACTGTTTGCCATTCCCACGTGTGCTTTTCAGAAATAACGCCAACTTTTACCAACAAAGCAATAACTACCGCTTGCCTGTATGTTAGAAAAAGGCAAATGCCAAATCTATATCAAGTATAAAATTAGCAGTTGTTTTAAAAATATGCTGTTAAAAATTTTAAAGCCCCAGTGCAACTTCCGTAGCACCACCTCCCTGCTTTTCTCATATATTCTACTGCTTAAGCAATTCACTCCTCTGTTACGGCTTCATCAGAGAATTTTGACATGTATTTTCAGACCTTTAGTCCTTGGCTCAGATTTTTTTCTCGTTTTGCACATTTCAAACAAATCTAAAGCTGACAACCCAGGTTCATTTCAATAGCAAATGACAGAAACTTTTAGAAATCCTTATACAAGAATATTCACTTCAGTGTTGCCTGTAATGGCGAAAAATTGTATCTACACAACAGAATACTAAGCAAAAACAAAACCCCAAACACAAAATTTCTGTTTACTGACAAGAACTATGACCACACTACAGTGTTATATATTGTTGAATTCTACAAGTTTTTACAGCATGAAACTATCTCTGGAGTTTTACATAGGGCCTATTTACACCAAAATGTTACTCATTGTTTTTCTGGCAGTGGGATACTGTCTCTGTTTGTTAAATTGGGTGTACTTGTTTCTAGAACCCCTATTACTTACCCTTTTCCTAAACTGAGCTCAGGTATAGTTTTGCAGTGCTGGGGAATCAAACCCAGGGCCTCATATACACTAAGCAAGTGCTGTAGAGTATTACAGAATATTTACTGATAAACGTTTTGCCACATTGTTAAGTATTCTACACGTGTTCTTCCAAACTGGTACAGTATTCTATGACAACTGAGACTTTAATGATTCCTTTAAGATTAAGATACTTAAATAATCTTATTATTTTCTTATAAATGCTACAGCGACCATCTGTTTCTTTATGAACATCACACAAGGGCTAAAGGGATGAACTTATTTTAAAGTGAAGTAGAGACATTTTAACCCATCTTCTGTATTAATAGTATTTAAAAAATTCTCCTTAACAGTTTTATTAGCATTTAGAAAATGAGAATATTTAAGAGAAAGCAACACTTACCAAAATGAAACAAAAACCACCAGCTTTACACAAAGAAATTTGCCAACAGGTTGGATTGGACTCAGTTCTTCCTTTAGAACTTTATAAAATAGGAGGAGACAATACATGGCAAACTGAGAGAAAAAATTAGTATTTACTAAAGTTATAAACCAGACACCAGGTACAGAATGTTTCAGGCAAAAATTTCTAGGCTTTGTTATTCTATTTTAGATTAACGACAGGCTTTAATGTTTGTTACATATGAGTATATACTATATGATATTTCTCAAGAGATGAACAGCATCTTCCCTGACAATGTTTTGAAGTGTTTGCTTACTGGGGATCATAAAGAGAACAGTAACCGACAGGAATGGAAGAAAAGGCGTTTGTTCAGCCAACATGAAAAAACAGGGAACATATCTATAATGTTTTGAAGTACATTACCATGAATTTTATAAGGGTTTAACTTCTTACCTAGTGTGTCTTATAAAACACTGCATATAGTTTATAAGACATCACAATAAATAGGTACAGTTTCAATAAAACTAGCTATGACACTGAAAGCAAGGAATCAGGCAAAAGATTTTTCTTGAGGACAGTATGTTAGTCTAGCTGAATTTACTTTTAAAAAGAAAGCTCATGCTTTATTTTAGAACTCAGTAACAAAATGCTAGTGTAGTATTTGAATAGTAATCAACATTTACTTTGTCCTACCAAAATCAAAAATGTTCATTTAAATATTTCAGGATATGAAAGCAGCAGAGGAATAGTTATTCAGACTCCTGTCATTTAACCATTTCTTGGGACATATAAGCGGTTTTTGACTTTTGTTTTTCTTTAAACCTAGTGCTGGAGATCAAAGCCAAGGCCTGGTGTGTGTCAGGTGTGTACTCCACCATGAGCTACACCCCCAGCTATAAGCTGTTTTTTTTTGTTTGGTTGGGGATTTTTTGGCAGCACTGAGGTTTGAACTCAGGGCCTCATGCTTGCTAGGCAGGTGCTCTACTGCTTGAGCTACACCTCCAGCCTATAAACTGGTTTTTAATACCTGTCATGAACTAAATTTAAATTTTGTTGCCCATTGTCTTTTTCAACTTAAGCTGCCTAATTTTTCCTTATGTTACACAAGAATTGTTTTTATGGCTGCCTAATATCTTGGCCAATGAAAGACCAGAATATATTAACTAGCCCTGTCGCTGGGCTTTGGATTGTTTCCAGCCATTAGCTATTACAACTAATAGGCTTTATAGTCAAAGCAAAAACACTTCTGACCATTTCCTTAGCAATCATTCCCAGAAAAAAGAATTATTGGTCGTAAAAAAGAACGTGGGAGGTCTTTGGAAACACAGCCATTTAATGTTTATTATAAAGCTCTAAACCACACTTGCAGGCCATTGGATTTGTGGTATTCTGTTGAAGCAGCTACCAAATATTTTAAGCAAAATGCACATTTTTTAAACACATAGGATTAAATAGTGTACCTTTAGAGAACTCCAATTTCTAGAACATTGTCCATGCTTTTGAACTGGATAGTCTTTATTTTCCTTTGACTCCAACTATGATGTCAGAGACTCTATTATCTTATTCTTATTTAAACTCTGCACTGTCATAGACATTTTCTCTTACTGAATTTTGTTTTATTTTGTTTTGTTTAGAGAGCTTTGTGCTTTTATTTATGACATACCTACACAGCTACAGAATGAGTAGTGAACACAATCAGGTTAGTGTATAAGTCACCAAATAATTAACAAAGATATTATTATATCTTTCCATTGTACAAAGGAATGTATTAAGGTTTTCTGAAGTCTTTTGTATAAATTATAAAGAAGCAGTAAAGTTTTATTCCAAGAAGAAACTGCCTGAAAAACTTTAGAGTTACAGAAGCTAATTTAATACAATTAAGAAAAATGAAGATTTGCTGGGTGTGGTGCATGCCAGTTTCCCAGCCTAAGCAAATATAGACTTCTAGGTCAGCCCTGGCTACACAGTGTCTCTTTCTCTCAAAGGAGAAAAAAAAAAAAAAAAGAATAATTTACTTACCAACTGTGACATATTGTTTATTATAACCAGGTAAGTCCAAGCATTTGAAAAGCTAAAGTTCCCTTCATCATATATACCAAGCAGCTCACAGATCCTAAAAAATGGTAATTTTAGAGATAATTTCATGCTTAATCTAACAAACACATATTTTACTTTTTTTTTGTGGCACTGGCATTTGAACTCAGGGCCTCATGCTTACTAGGCAGGTGCTCTGCCCCTTGAGCTACTCCACCAGCTCTAATGAACATGTATTTTAAAATACATTGACAGCAATACTTAAATTTGGAAGTGAAAAAATAAAGGACATAGATACAAAGGGGGTTACTGGAGGGGGGAACCAGCAGGAGGTGGGAAGGGGAAAAGAGGGTGAGGGGGAGAGTATGATTGAAGTACATTGTAGACACATGAAAAGTCATAATGAATGAAACTCATTCAAAAATACTGCAAGAAAGATTTTAAAAAAAAGGTGGGAGGAAAGTGAGAACAGGGGAAGAGATGAAAACACCACAACGAAAGCCCTCACTTTGTACAATTAATATGTATAATAAAAAAATTTAGAAGTCAGTTTATTTGAACAATCCTACAGATAATCACGACTTCAGCCATAAAGGCCAAAAATAGTAAAAGAACAACATTTTTTTCTGAAATGTTCACCATGTGGCAATTCTGCCAACTTGAAGGAAATACAAAATACGGCCCACACATTGAACTAGAAAGAAAAAAAGCTATGTTGCCTAAGTTTGAAAAGTTTCATTGTTAAACATAATGTATGTATGTATGTATGTATGTATGTATGTATGTATGTACTGTTCAGTTTTTTCCCTAAACTGTCTTGGCGATAAGCATCATGAAGACCCAGATCCCCTCAAATAAGCTTTATTGTTAGTATTAAGTTACATGTGAACATTGGCTCCAATGTCTAAGCTGCAGAGAAATAAAGCATACCTTCATAAATAAGTGACTCAAGATTCACTTGGCCAAGTAATTCCTACTTCGAAAGCAGAAAAAAAATTGATTGTTCTTTTACCTTTCTCTCTATCTGTCCTTTGTGAGCTGCAGAACGTTAGTAAGGACCAGTGAGTAAAGCAACAACATACCTGCTGTAAACTGATATTCTTGAATTTTTAGGGAACAGCATTGCCAAGTAGCTTAATGTTAACTCATTTTTACCTCAAGTTATTTTTTTTTATTGTTTTACTTTTTTTTTCTTTATTCATGTGTGCATACATTGTCTGGGCCATTTCTCCCCCTGCCCCCGCCCCTTCCTCTCCCCCCTTACCTGAAGTTCTAAACCCTGGAAAATATGACCTCTCTGTTGGAAAGTGCTCAAATATACTCTAAACTAACTGTATAGAAAATAAATAAGTAATTAACCTAAAACAGCATACTTTAACTTTGCTCAATAGTTTCTGTAAGCTGTGTGAATGTTAATATTTGAAAAACCATGTTTTTCAAAGTGCCTTACAGAGGATGTAAATCCTGCAGTGATTCCTTGCCTGTAAATGGTAAGAAAAGAGTTTTTATAGCAGATTAAATTTATAAAAAGCAAGAAAATTAACACTTAGTATTTTTCTACTCTGTTGTTCCCACATAAGAGCATGGAGACTTTCAGAAAAAAATGGTAACGTAAAATCTAAGTACTTACAAAGCAACAATGGTAGTGAAAGGTCTGACAACTGTATACTGCAACACTCCTAGTTTGCACCTAAACAGCAATACTCTGCAAATGAAAAAGAACATTATTTCAACTACTCATTTCAGTGTCACAACATACTCAAAACCTCCAAAGATCACTGACAAATGACACCAAATTATACTTATTCCTTCACTTCAACATCTTAAATACCAATGGAAAAAGTATGTGGAGGATGGCAAGAAATGATCCAATACCACTTTTGAAATTAAGTAATTAACAAATATATCTTCTGAAATAGCCCTCAAATTCCAGAACAGTGCAACACAGAATAGGAATGGGTTCCTGCTATGGTTTGGATCTGGCATGTCCTCTAAAGGCCCATAAAGGCTTGGTCCTTAGGCCTTGGCACTACTGAGAAATGGTGGAACCCTTAGGAGAGAGGGCCTAGTCGAAGGAAGTTAGGTCATTAGGGGTGTGCCTTAAAGGGGACCCATGCTTCCAGGCCACCATGAGGTGAACAGGCTGCCTCCTCCACATGTTCCTCCCATGATGTGTTGTGCCACCACAGGCCCAAAGCCATGGGAGCAAGAGACCAGGGACTGAAACCTTTGAATCTGTGAGCTAAATAAACCTTTTCCCTTATTAAAGTGATTATTTCAAGATTCTGTCACAGTGACAGCTGAATCACAAATGAATTATGTGTGGAAGTGTGTATACATGAATGCATATTCAGAATGCATCATTTTTACATTTAGGATTCAGTGTCCTTTCAAGTTTGATATTTAATTATCATTACAGGGAGAATCATTGTGTGGATGCTGTGAAAGAACAAACATCCTACATTAAACAGTTTTTATTCTATTACTGGACTCATTCAATTTAGGGGAAAATTCACAAGGAGTAGCAAAAACACAAAACCAAAGAACCTCCAAACAACTGCAAAACAATTCCTGAGAAGCACTGTAAAAGCCTTCTTAAAATTCAGACCAAGCTGCTCTGAGGGCACATGCTTATTTAGGTCCTCCATCAGAACATGAATCCTTTAAGGATTGTATCTGGACGAGAAGATTGTGAGCTTGTCATACAAAACTTTGGGTGCTGTGTTTCTAGCACCAAATAAAAACTACTGGAGTTTTCTGAGCTGAGAGCCTTCTCTGAACTAAGGTGACTCATTTCCACTTACACCTGGGTGTGTCCCCTGTGGTGCTGATGGCCAAGCGTTGCACTGGGCTTGGGAAAGGGGTGGATGTCTGCTGTCTGCCAAGGATCTTATGTTGGAACTTTGGTCCCCAGGGCTGTGGTCCATAAGTAGGGCCTAGGGGAGGTCCTATGGTCGGTTTGGGGTATGCCCTCAGAAGGGACTGTGGAATCCCAAACTCTCTTTGGCTTCCAGTCTGGCAATGTGATTGTTTGCTCCTGTCATTGCTACTTACCCTGAAGTAACAAAACCAACGGAGGCAGCCTCTCCAAGCCTGTGTCATACTGGTTGGATTTTAAACCTCTAGAACTAGGAGATAAATAAACCTTTCTACCTTAAAAAGTTAGCTTGCCTTAGGTATTTTATATAGTAATGAAAAGGACTAAAATGGCAGCCCCACTATCTTGCAAATTCCTTGGCAGGACATACTGTGCTTCCTGACCCATATGCCTCACAAAACTAAACTAAGTTTCAGCTGGTTGTGAAACTGAAGCAGAGAACACTAAAAGTGACTATATACGTTGTTCAAATAGCCAATTCTATTCTTTTGAAAGCTGTGGAGAATTAGTGAACTGAAAGATGTATCCGGAGAAAATATGCAGTATGTAACAAAGGCTGAGATAAAGAGCCAAATATGAAAAACAGCTGTGAGTTATAAAGAGCAGACCGGAATGAGAAGACCTAACATGTTCAGAGTTCTAGAAGAGAGAACAGAGGCACAATGTGAAGTGATAATGGCTAAGAACTTTTTAGAACTGATGAAAGACATGAAATGTACAGACCGAGGCACACTGTATGTCAATCAGGGCTCAAAACATAAAGAGAACTTAAATACTACAGAATGAAACTATACACCATCAAAGACAAAATGAGGGTCTCTCGGATTGAGCCATCTGGAACTTCTCAGCCTCCATAACTGTGTGAGTCAATTCACCTTACTAATCCTCTCACGTATTGCTATCTCTGCTCAACCCTCCCTATCTGTGGGCTCCTTATCCATGATTCATCCAACCCTGGATGGAAACTTACATGTATACTGAATATGAACAGACTTTTTCCTTGTCATTATTACCTACATAATATAACTATTTATGTAGCACTTATACTGTATTAGGTATTATAATCTTGACAGGACTTAAAGGATATGAGAGGACGTTTGTAGGTTGTATATAAAAAGTATGTCATGAGTCTTTTGCATCTGTAGGCTTAGTTATGGGACAGGGTCCTGGAATCAATCCCCCATGAATACTGAAAGACAAATGCATTATGTATCATATTAGTTATGTTTCTCTGGAGAGCCCTAATATATGTGCCATGATTATATAAGAGAAAGTTGGGTGGAGGTATACGGAAAATCTCTGTCCTGTCTTTCCAACTTTCCTGTAAATTTTTAAAGTTTATTTTTACTTTTCTGTAAATTTTAAATTATTCCAAAATAAAAGTTTACTTTAAAGAAGTTAGGCACTGGTAGCTCACACCTGTAATCCTAGGTACTTGGAAGGCTGAGATCAGGAGAATAAAGGTTCAAGGCCAGCCTGGACAAATAGTTCATGAGACCCCATCTCTAAAAAAACCAGCACAAAATGGACTGGAGGTGTGGCTCAAGTGGTAGAGTCCTGAGTTTAAACCCCAGTTCCACTAAAAGAAAAAAAAAATGTAATCAATGGAAAAGGGAAAGAAGAGAAGAAAAAGTGAGGAAAATGGGAAAAAGACAAGAATAAATGAAGCTACCAATAATCACAAAAATGTAATAGCCTAACTTGATCTAGTGCTGGATCATCAACTTAGAACTAAAAAAAAAAACAAAAAACAAAAAAAAACCATGGGACGCTTTTTAAAAGCAAACCATATGCCTACGACATTAAGACATGGAAGCAATGAAAGAAAAAGACAGAGAAAGATAAGCCAGGCAAATACCTAGCAAAGAAAAGTTGGGATGTTTGTTAATATCAGACAAAACAACTGTAAGACAAAAATGACTGGACTAGAAAGAGTCATGACATAATGTCAGAAGTTAAATTCATGGGGAAAAGTAAATTTTAAACATGTATGTACCTACTAAACTTGATAAATAAAAATAGTAGATAACAAAACTATGAGATTTGGTGAATGTAGTTCTTGGAGGGAAATTTGCAGCCTTAAATGCATCAATAGAAAAGAAGAAAGGGGACGGGTATGATAAGTACACACACTTTCAATACCAGTACTTGGGACGCTGAGGCAGCAAGAAAACAAGTTCAGTGCCAGCCTGAACTACACAGTGAGACCCTGTACCAAAAACTAAAATAGTAGGAAGAGAACATAATAAAACAAAGAAAATGGCAAAAAGCAAGTAAAAAACAGAGCAGATATACAGCATACCACAAAGAGAAACAACAGTCAAAAGTTAGTCTTAAAAAGACTAGTAGAAATAGGCTAACCTCTGACAAGACTGATCAAGAAGAAAACCAAAAAATGGTAAACTGTGCTATCTAAGGGGAGAAAACCAAAAATACAATTAACATTAGAAATGGAAGAGGGGTCATAACAACAAACCCAAAAGAGATTAAGAAGCTATGAATTAATGGATATCCCTACTTTTTAAAACATTGTCTATTCTGCTTAACTCTTAAAAGCCTTCAGTTCTTTGCATACCATCCTATGATAGCTCCTTGTTTGATAACCGTCTCACTGACTACACACACTTTAGAGAAGTTCCTTTGAGCCCTTTTTCAACTAGACCTCACCCTTGGGCACTGTCCTTCACTTGCTTTAATCGGTCTAAGCGAAGAATCCTGCTAGTCATTTCCCACCCCCGTGATATCTGATCAGACATCTGCATCAAGCTCCTCATCCATCCCCATTCTTGATGTCCAGGCCCTTGTCCTGCTTTTAGCAAGAATCCTGTAGGGTCAGTTTGGTGAAAGTCCCCTAGTTATCATGTCTCCTTTTAGTAATTTTGTATCCACTGACCCCTTCCTTCTGCTCTTTAGTTAGCAATCACCATTTGTGCTTGTATTTGGAGTAAGTCTTTCTCTCCTGACCCTCAACCTCCATGAGTTTTTCCTATTGTGTCTCAAGGTCTCCTGTTCTTTTTTCTTGATTCCATTTCCTGAAACAGGTAACTAAATATTTGTCTTCATTTAATTCCTAACCCTCCTAATGAAAGTAAGTCCCTGAGGTTTATGTTTTATGTAATACACTATATATCTATATACTTGCACACACTTAACTGCTCAAAATATATTTGTCAAATGAACATATTATCAGCTTATTTTAAAAAGCCAGGCAGATCCAGTGAGTGTGATCAAGAGACCAAGGACAAAGTATGCCCTTCAAGGGCACACACCCAGTGTCCTACTTCCTCCAAATGGGCCACTAATTCTAATAGCCATTTCAGCTATGCTGTCATGAAATGGATTAATCCACTGATGAGGTCAGCCCCCTTATGACCCAACCACCTCTCAACAGAACCCAAAGCTAGACACCAATCCTTCAATACACGGGACTTTGGGGATATTTTATCCCACTTACGATACCTCAAAATCATTCCATTTACCTTGACTAGCAACTGCCCCCTTATTTCCCATCTACCAGCAGTCAAGTTCTATTGGTTCTTCAATTGCATTTTCTTAATATCACTCTTTTCTTTTCCAATTTCATCACTCCTTTCAGCTTACCTCACAAATGGACTAGTATAACCTCCTAATTTATTTCCCCATTTCTGGAGACCTCATCTCTCTAATTTATCTTTTATAGTATTGCAAACTTAATCTTTCTAAAATGCCATTTTGAAATGTTTGCTTGCTAAAAAATATCCAATAGTTCTTTTGTGTACTAAATGCAACCTTAACCTCAATTTTCTTTTCAAAATGAAAGCTGAAAATGGCATGGGATTTATCTTCCTTTAGTGTCCCATGTGAACATATAATAAGGCAAGCTAACTTAATGTGTTGCTAGAACATTGCACCTGTTGCTATTTCATGTCATATGCTGTTTTCCCACCTAGACTATTTTCTCCCCGTGTCTTTTAGCTGTGTGATCGTGCATAAGATCTGCAGACTATGGGTCCCAGTTGATTAAATGATTCCTCAGGTTTTCTCTTGCTATACATTGTTGAACTTTTCTATTTGGATGAATAGTGTAAAAAAACCCCTAACATGGATTATAAAAACACATTTTGTTTGTTAGCCTACAAACCTATGAATTACATTTAGTAGGGACCTGGTCTTAGTCTTTTTGCCCTCATCATAGTACTTGACACACTGTCTTGCAAACAGCTGACTGCAAAACCAAAGAATTAAACCAAACCTACTTACTCTCCCATAGGCCAAGGTGGACAGCAACATAAAGGAGGGAAATGCTTCTGCTGGTCTTTGGCTTCAAGGATTAATACCAGATTTGGATATCGGTTAGTTAGGTAATTGGTAAGGAATCCCATGAAGTTGTAAATGACATAGGCTTCATAGCATTCTCTGCAGGTATCCACATATATTGCAATGCTGGGATATTTCAAAGCTATCCACTATGAAAAAGCACAAATGTTAAAGAGTTGCAGGTTAGATAAAGTGAATTACCACTGCAATTCATGGTACTCACAAAAAGCTAATTTTTAAACTTAAGATATTTTGTCACATACTTTAAACTCACTAAAATTTGTCATTATGATGGCAAGCAGATAATCTATAATGAATTTGTGTGAGGTGGTAGGGCTTTATATTCCACCGTTGAGCTACATCCCTAGCCCTGTGAAACTAATTTTTAAAAGCAATAAACATCTTAAATAGATAAACAAAAAGATAAGAGTTTGGGGTAAATAATGAACATGAAGAGAGAAGTTATTAATTACTTGAGCTCTCAAATATAATCTGAAATCTTTCTCAGTATGATCATAGAAAATGCTGCTAAAGAGGTTTTCTTTACAGCTGATCAACTTAGAGCAGTAGATGTATCCATTGGGGCAGGTCCAAATAAAAGACTTAATAAATGAAAAGGGTGGTAATGTAGAGGCAGCTATCCTTGTCTGTGGAATCTCCATCCACGGTTTAACCAACCTTTGCTCAAAAATACCTAAGAAAAGCAGACAAAAAGCCCTATATCTGTACTAAACATGTACAGACTTTTTTGGGATCATTGTTCCCTTAACAACATAGTTTAAACAACTAGTTACATAGTATCAGGTATTATAAGTGATCCAGAGATAATTGAAAATATATAGGAGAGTGTGTGTCCATTTTATGCAAATAGCATCTATTTTATATAAGGGACTTGAGCATCAACAAGATTTTGGTATCTGTCGGAGGCTTTGTTGTCTCAGAACCAATCCCCTAGGGATGCTGGGGGATGAGTTTAGTTTAAAATATTACATTCCTTAATGGACTAAGAACTACTAAAGTTTAAAAGTTTAAGCAAAGGAAACAGCTATAGAGTCTTAAAAATTATCTGTATTTTTCATTTTCTATTATCGTATTTAACTTCATCAACATTAAAAACCAGTGAACCTTTTCACTTTCCTTATTAATCTGACTCCTATGTTAATAAAGTTCTTTTATTACCTTAAGCATTCTGTAGTTAAGTACAACTAGTACCATCAAACAAGTTCTCAGTTAATGAAATAAAATGAAACATACTTACACTATCTAAACTGTATATGGGTACCATCCAAAGAATCCTGTTTGGAAAGCAAAACATCAATTAAAAACATTTTATGTTATATTTATGAAATAAGCCAATGCAACACTAGTAGAATCAAAACATACTAAGAATGACCTTATTATTGGTTTTTGTAGTTCAGGTTGTGTGTAATGCACTAAGTGTTGCAGTATCACCCACAGCGATATAGGTATAGTCAGCAGCAAGAAGATTCCAGCAATAAACCAAGCCTTGGTATGTATTCCAACCTTAAGAAACAAAAGAGCACATTAGTATAGATTTTTGATACTAAAACTAAAAAGCTCAAAATATTTTCACTTCAGAAATTTTCATTTGATTATTAATAAGGTGCGATATTTCCCAAATGCTTAGCAGCTGTTTTCATTTCATCTTCAAAATAAACAGCCTATTTGTAATTTTTGGGAGGAAGGGGCATATTTTTCCTCATGAGGTTGAGCAATTTTCCTCATTAAGCTTTTTACGCATTTAAAATATTAACACCATTATTGTTCCCCCCCCTTTGCCTTTTGTATATGATTACTGTGTTTGGATATATACAGACGTTTCTAAATTTTCTGTAAATCTAAAAAAATATTTTATGGCTTATTCCTTTGCTTGTAGGGTTACAAAGTTAAAAATCTACCAACATTTTCTTTAAATTTTATTGCTAAACATTGTAGTAAATTTTTGTATGTATGCAGGTATTGAATATTTACTGAGTGCTGGCTATTTGTCTTACACTTCGCTAAATTTTTCTTTACACACACTATCCCTTTTAACCCTCCCAGTTGATAACTACTGCACGCTACTGTCCAAACAAACTGCGTTAATATGTACTTCTCCTCTGATAGAGAACAATATCAATTCAGGATATTGTAACTTTAAAAATCTTTAATTTCTTTTTTAGGTAAATGATCAATATTTTATCCTCTGAAAGCTTAATCTCTAAAAATATACTTGGGGTCATCTCATCATAAAGCAGAACTGACGTCACCCATCCACTCTCTGGTAAAAACAACTGCATTTGAACCTCAGTTGTCTTTGGGCAATCCTAGCAATGAATTTTATACTAACACAATACCGTCTTGAAGAAAGCTTTTTTTTTTTTTAAGGGTAAAAATGGACATTTATTTTTGGAACTTACAGGATTTTTGTGTCGTTAATAATTAAGGTAGACCTGAAGTCTACAACTTTTAATTTTTACAGTGTTGAGCAAGATTTTCCTCCCACCAGGAGCCCCAAATTAAAGATGTAGAAAACATAAAAATATGGGGAACAAATGTATATTTATAACAGTGAGTTTCTATATTAAAATGTAAAAATTTGAAGCATGGACACATGGGGTGAAGACTTCAAAGGAATGAGAGCACTCATTTTCCAAGGCTTTTAACTTTCTTCAATTTCACTTAAAGTTCAGTATTCATTTAGAAAATTAAGTATCCATTTCAATGATCTAAGAAAATGATGACATAAGCATAGTTTAGAGCTTCTAGTAGAGGGTGATCATGAAGAACAGTACTGTCAAGTTTAATGTCCACAGTTGTCCAAAAAGTAGAACTGGACAGTAGACATCAAGAAGAATGATGAGATTATGACCAATGAAGGCCAAGCGTCTGCAGTGTGCTATAAGAAAGTTCTTTTTCAAACAATCATAAAACAAGTGACTAGAGAAATGAGTCATTACAGTATAGTTATGCCAAATTAAAAAAACTTCTGCACCATGTTAGTATTATTACCTTCAAGTGGTAGTTTAGTTTCAGAAAAACACCATTGCTCTGTATTATGTCAGTAATTTGAATTACTGGATTTATAGCTTTGATTTGAAATTTAACACAAATTTAACATTATAACAGAATAAGCCAAAAGCAAGTATCTGTAGAAATTATTAATACATTTATTTTACTTAAATTTATATTTTTCCAAATAATGTATTCAAACTTGAGACACATCAATATAAAGATACCATTAACATTATTCTTTTTTTTTTCCTGAGGCACTGGGGTTTGAACCCAGGACCTTACACTTGCTAGGCAGTTGCTCTACCATTTAAGCCACTCTGCCAGCCCAGTAACATTATTCTTAAACTTGTCACCTATGAGTGTTTTTTTTTTTTTCCAGACTCTTAAAATGAGGAGAGATAAGTACATTTTTTTTCTAAGGTAACTTGAAGAAAGGCAAGAGGAAGGAAAAAACCTTAAAGACAAGAATTCCAGGAGTAAGTTAACACTCCCTTGGCTAAATGCTTCAAAACACTGTAGAAACAAGCAGGATACAGTGCTTTCTGAGTCCAAATGTCCTGGGGGAAGGGAGGAGAACTGACAAGAGCTATGTGGGCTGTAAGGCAAAACATCTACAGAGCAGTGTCATCATGAATACATCTAGAGTACTTCACATCAAGACACATTCTACCAAGAGTGTGAGGGAAATCGTTTAAATAGTGCAGATGGTCACCTTGCTACTCCTATAAATGAGTATATGCCCCACCATGGCCATGGGATGGGCTACATGAACCTCCTGTTTTTTACTATCTCAGTTCCCACTGGCTTCTCAGCGTGAGCTACTGTTGAAAGGACATGCGTTTTTCATACAAAATGTCCCTAAGCTTAAGTCAAAGTACATCTAGTGCTCAAGCAGATACATGTAATTTTGCCTTAGGTGTTCAAAAGAAAGCCTAATTCATCTACGCTGCTATTTCACAAGAAAAAGAACTGCTGTTCCAATGTAATACTGATATTTTAAAAACAATAGTGGTAATTAGGGCTCACTGAGCACCTCCAATTTGCTGGGCACAGTGTTAAGAATTTTGGATGCATAAATACATTTAGTGAACAATGATGAAATGAATAATAAGGAGACTGCATATAATTACAATGCAACTTCAGCCACTTAATCCCTCTGCCTCACTTTTCCTATCTATAGAGAGGATACTTCCTACATATCAGAGATTTAAAGAGAAATAAATAAAATTATAGCTACAGCTAAATCCTGAGGACATGCTCTAGTTAGCGTCTCTAATCTTGAAAACAAATCACAAGAAAAAAAATGTGTGTGCTGAGAATTGTTCAGGTAGTAACATGGTTCAGAAAATTAGCACTGAGGAGCACAGATTAAAATCTTTCTTAAATGCTACTGACACTTTAAAACTACAGTTGAAACTCACAAACAAGAGAAGTCTTAAGCTAGAGTGATACACATTTCATTAACTTTAAATATAGTTCCTATAATGCTGGGGATGGTGGTGCACACCTTTATCCCAGCATTCAGGAGGTGGAAACAGGAGGATCACAAGTTTGAGGCCAGCATGGGCTACAGAGTGAGTCCTGCCTCAAAACATCAGAAAAGAAAAGCAAAAGTTTCTATACCATACTCCAAGGAAATACTTCAATGTAAAATAATCCTATTTATATTAAGATGGTTATACCTGAATTTTAACAGACATTCAAATAACTTCAATATCTAACAAACAAGAAATATTTAATGCAAAATATTACACTACCCTTAGAAATAACCCTTAAAATAATTCAGTGAACACACAGAAATGTGTTTAAACACATTGTATAATTATTTAAAAATCCTTTCCACAATAAAGAGAAGGGCCTAAAGTAGTCATGGTTTTGCCTTAGCTCTTCTAAAATAAAGTGCTTCTCAGTAAAAGTACATTTTGGTAATTATTATCTCTTATTTAAAGCTCATTATACATATCTTAGGTAACTATTTACCTTGGGGTTTCCAGCTTGAAGTACTTTACTGATGTCACAGTAAGAATATGACATCAAAAAATATACAAGGAACCTAGTTGCAAAACTTTGCTTTGGTTAAAAGCTAATTTTAAAAGTAAAAACAAAGTCAAACCAACTAGAATTCTTTAATTCAGGAAGCTACTTACAAGCTAATAAAATTCAACACACGGTTTTCGAGGTAGTTTGTTTGATCTAGTTAAGTCCAATAGCTGAACATCAGGTCAGACTTTTGGAATGAAGTTACGTATTCCTCTCGGGGAAGAGATGAATGCTTGCACAACAATACTTTTAAGCAGACACATTAATACCCCGCTTTCAAGTCTCGCATGAGTTGAAGAACCACGAACAAGAAGTGAGACAGGTTTAGGTCCAATGACCGGGTTCGTTTACACGAGATGGTTTTTCGGGGTCTAAGGGCAGAAACGGGGAGGGGTGTCCGTCTCTTCGCCTTAGGTATTAGAAGGAAAAGTGGAGGCGGACGGCGCCGGAGCCTCTTACCTCCAGTTTCTGTAATTCCCACACACACAGGGGCACCGCAACGACTACAGACACCAGGTAGATGACCACAGCTAAAGGTCGAATCCACTGTCTCCAGTTCCTCCAGGTGCACGTGCAAGGCATGTTTTCGCCTAAGTCAGCTCCGAACAGCAACGAAAGAGAGCTCAAAGGCGACTGCAACACGGAGCCCGGCTCTGGGGCGGTTTTGTCACCGCGCATACTACGGAGAGAGAGCAGCTGAGCGACTTCAGCAGCAGCTGGAGCCTCCGCCTCCGCCGGCGCTGTGCTTTCTGCCGCGGCACCTGCGGCCGCTCAGGGTGCTGGCAGGGAGCAGTGCAGGCAGCATCCTTTCTTCCCCACCCCGCATCTACCCGGCTCTTCCCTCGTGGACTCCCCGGGCGGAGCCGCTGCCCTCACCTGGGGATCGCCCAGAGCTCCGCCTGCACCATGGCCCGCAGGACCGCGGCGCCGACCCGGACCGGCCCCTAGGGACCCTGCACTCTAGGCTTCTGGCCCGCAGCTAGCTACCTGCCGGCTCGCTCTTTCCCTGAAGGACCGGACTTCCTCCCTCTGGCCCTACCAAGCATCGGGTCGTCAGACTCCACTGGCCGACTAGGGCCCCCAGATTTCCTCACTGGCTCGCACGAGACATACCCTACCACGGAACTCAAGGCCAAACCTGGGATCTCTCTAAAGGCTGCGGGCTGCCTTCCGCTTCCGCCCCCGCGGTCTGAGGCAGGTGATTCGCTGTCAGCGCCACGATGGGACCGCCCCATCCGGCTCACTTTCTTCTCCCTGATTGGTCCATTGAGGGGGCGGGGCTGAAGCGCTGTGTACTCCGATTAGTAGAAAAGAAGAAGAGCGCAGTGGAGGTCGTGTGCGTGGCCGCCGCGTGGTCTACTGGCTCCAGAGAAGGATTCTGGAAGCTGCGTGGTCTACTGGCTCCGGAGAAGGATTCTGGAAGCTGCGTGGTCTAGTGGGCTCCGGAGAAGGATTCTGGAAGCTGCGTGGTCTAGTGGGCTCCAGAGAAGGATTCTGGAAGCTGCGTGGTCTAGTGGGCTCCGGAGAAGGATTCTGGAAGCTGCGTGGTCTAGTGGCTCTGGAGAAGGATTCTGGAAGCTGTGTTTGGGAGCAGTTGAAGAACAGTACATTCTTCTCCTGGCCTAATGCCAGCTAAAAGAAAGCCTCGGTAAGGGGCAGGTACTGTAGAGCTGAACTTGAAGCGAGAAAAGTTTTGTTCGGATTGTGCGTTCTCCAGGGGTGGCTGTGAAAGCCAGCTGGAACAAAGACGGGAGACCTTTGCTTAGTTTTCGGTCCGAATCTAGAGGCCTAAGGGAGGGAGCTGCAGTTATTTCTGGATTCTGCAGAGGAATCTTTCTAAAAACAGCTTAATTTTAGAAGTACTTACCAACTAGGGAATGTCCACATTTGAAACTCATGTTAAAGAAAATAAAAAAGCTTCATCATTTAAGATTGAAAAGGTTGGCACTCTTAACACTCAAAGCTTTTAGCTTTATAGGTTTGTGGAACAAAACACAAGGCTAATGGGATCTTAAAGCCTTTATAAGTCCATAGAGCAAACCGTTTTCTCAAGGCATACGAATGTGTCCTATAGCGTTACTGTCATGTTCTGGGAACAGGCGCTGAACTAATCTTTACCTACGTTGTGTAAGTTGATCTACATAAAAAACCTGAAGTAGGCAGCTCTCATTTTTGCAAAAGAAAAAACAACTACAAGTGGTTTTGTAAGTTGCCCAATGTCATTGAGCTAGTAAATAGAGCTGGTCTCTACAATCTTGGTCTCTCTGACATTGAAGTATTTGATTGTCTGGCAGCACCTGCCTCCCTGGCAATTTCTGCCTAATGGAAATATTGATGAGAAGGTCTGCAATATTGGCACATGCAGTACACAGGCGTCTCAGTATAGGAGGGAATATGCTTATGGCTGTGACATACCTGCTCTAGCAAAAATGTAGACTTGATTTCCACAAGCCTCTTTCAAACTGATAGGTAGCAGTGAGACATAAGCAGTGGCCACAAGAGGAGACAGGGACATTATGTTATTTTGATAAATATTTAAAGGGCCAGACTCTGAACAAGAAGAGCCAAAATAGCTAGCCCCCTCCCATCTCCTTTTAGATGCTAAGCTACAGGAAAAGGGAAACAAAAGAGGAGCTACCTGCTTCTGCTTTCCTCTTTGAGATGTTAACAAGCTACCAGGATCCTTGGATGGATAGAGGAATGAAAGAGAAGTTCTAAAGCACACCTATGTCTCTGTGAATTGGGTGGAACGTGGGTGTGTTTGGAAGGGTGACCCCTCTCTGTCAGCTATCTCAACCATCCAGATCCATTACCTTTTACCACATATATTCCCCCTGCTCTCCAGTGTAAGACTAGGAATGGGGACCTCCACCTTGAGTCTTTGCTCCCATTTCCTGCCTGGGGAACAAGAAATATTTCTCTCTTCTCCTGACCCTGATTCTCTCTGGAGACAACCTGCTTTTAGGTTGTTGAAAGCATATTCCTCTCCTAATAAACTTTACTGTTACTTTTACTAAATTTTTGCATCTTGCTTGAGTTCTGCCAGATGCAAGAACCAAAGTAATTTTTAGGACTATTTTTCTGGTAACAATCATTTAACAACTCCATTTTACAACCTGACCCCTTTAAGTAAAAACTCCTTCCTTAAAAGGGAAATAGGCCTTTCGTTTAGTTTTCCTAAGCTATTCCTCAAAATTGAAATAGTTGTTCAAAAACAATTCCTGATCACGGAACCAATATGTACTCTACTGTTCAGAAAACAAGAATAAAAAAGAGAAAATCATTACTTTACAACTAAGTATAACTAGTTCCTTTTTGATACATAATACAGACTTCATTGGATAGGATGTATACATACCACTTTCAGCCAGAGTCTTACTGTCTATAATTATCTTCCCCGTTCTTTCTCATGGGCAGACCTTTTTTGACTTAATTTGTGAAAACTTTCTTGATCCCCTTATCCTTATAGCATTCTTCTACTTACATGTTTGTCTTTTTTAGACCATGGGTTCCTTAGAAAATGCTGAAGTTCTAGAGCCATTAGAAAAAAGGAAGTGGAGAGACCAGAATGTCAATGTACAAATGATTTTGTACACGTTTGTCAGTTGAGGTTCATTTTTGGTGAATTTTCTGCATACCAGCAGAGAAATAGTTTTCCATTGAGTTAAGTTTATCCACTCTTAAGGATTATGCTTTTAGAACTTGTCCATCCTTGTTTTAAAGATGGTATCATAGATTTCAAATGTTTTTCTTATTTTAGAGAATAAAAAATTGCATTCTGAAATTTTTCTTGGCCCATGAAATCTTGAAATGTAGTCATCATTTGTAAGGAATGACTGCTGGTTTCAACAACCATAATGCTGGTATGATTCTAATCTGCTCGATCAATATTCTCTTTTATTTCTCTCTGGATATGATGTAGCTGATGCTTGAGAGTGAATCTGACCTTGATGGTGTTTAGAAAATAAGTGGTTGTAACTGGCAGATGGTACTACAGTCAAAAGCAAGCTGCATAGGTAGATGGAGTTTTGCCATCCTTTATAGATATGTTTGGGTTCGTCTGACAAAATAATAGGTTAATGAAATTCACTCTCAGGTATCCTGGGAGGTGTTAACTCTTTGACATGGCCTTCATCTCTATGTAAGTAAGTCCATGGTGGTTTTAAAAACCTGCTGCAAGTTCTTTGATATTCTTCCCATAACAGAGTCTGTGTTTCCTCTCTTATATCTATGTGAGCTTGGGACTGATTTGACCAGTAGAATGTGGTTAAAGTAACCATAGTCACCGTATGTGATGTTGGAGGCTAGGTCATAAAAGGCTATGCAGCTCCACTTATCTCCTGGAACACTTAGTTTTGAAACTCTCACCATGTAAGAAGTCCTACCTGAGGCTACTGAATGCCTAGGACACTTAGACCCCTTGAAGATATTCTGGTTGACACAGCTGAACAGAGCCCAGGTGACAGTCACATGAGAGGACAAGCCAATTCCAGATCCCAACTGTTTCAGTCATTCCTCAGTCATTTGAGTCTTCCAGCTGAGGCCAGAGTCATGTTGACTGGATATAAGCCATCCCTGCCTGTGCCTTGTTCTAAGACCTGAACTTTGGATGTTGTGTTTAGGATTTCTAGTGAACAGATAATGGAAATAATATCTTGTCTATGGGTTTATATTTAAATAATCTGAAAGAAGTGTCTCTCAAGTTCTTATTTAGGAATACATTAGCCCTAGAGTCTGGGATGCTATTAACCAATGAGTTAAGTGAGTCTTAGATTTAAAAGTTGGAAGGACACAGGGTAGAGACCTGAGCAACTCTTTATAGAATGCTTAAGTTTGTGATGCTTAAGTTTGTGATGCTTAAGTTTGTGATGCTTAAGTTTGTGAGAGATCCTCCTCAAATGGGAGGAAAAATGGTCATTTATGAAACAAATGTATGGGGAAGAGAATAAACGTGGTACAAGCTGTAATAAGAAATTACTAGCCAGGTGTGGTGGATCAGATTTATAATCCTAGCTACTTGGAAGGCTGAGATCAGGAGGATCATGGTAAGTTCACAAGCCCCGGTCTCAATGAACAGCTGGGTTCGTGGTACACTCTTGTCATCCCAGCTACTTGGGAAGTTGAGATTGAGAGAACTGTGGTTCCAGGACAGCTAAAAGTCACGAGGTCCCTGCCTCTATGGAGAAAGCTGGGTGGTCCTGATGGTGTGTATCAGTTGTCCTAGTTACAGCATAAAATAGAAGGGTCACAGCCTGGGCAAAAAGCAAGACCCTATCTCAAAAATAACCAGAGTGAAAAAGGACTGGAGGTATGACTCAAGTGGTAGAACACTTGCCTAGCAAGCAGGAAGGATGCCCTGAGTTCAAACCCAGTACCACCAAAATACAAAAAATTCAAAGCTGAATATTGTTTCCCACTTTTTAAGTTTTAGCTTTACCTACCACATTTTCCAGGCTTTAAGCTTCGTTGAAGACCACATGCCTTACCAATTTCTACCTCCCCCAGCCTTCCTCATGTCTATAACGAGATCAAGCTAGAGATACTTGGTATGTATCCATATATCTATATTTCTACAGGCTTTATGTTTATACCACCTTATTTTAAAGGGACTTCTCTCAAATATTTTTGGTTGCTAAATATATAGTTGCATTTATAAATTTTGGCAACTTTAATAATTTTTAAATCTGTTTCCATGTTTGTATTAAAGGAAAAATGAATCACAATGAATTGGAAAATTTGAGAATTTTATTTCACTTTGTTTAATGGGTCTTATGATTCAGAGCAGAGGTTGGCAGACTATGGCCCAGTTCTGGTCTGCAGTCTGTCTCTCTATAGGCATTGAGCTAAGAATGCTTTTTTATTTTATTTAAGCAAAATAGACAATTTAAAATTTGTCATTTTAATCATTTTAAGTGTTTAATTCAGTAGCGTTAAGTATATTTACCACCACCATCTCCAGAATTTTTTTTTTTAGCAGTACTGGGGCTTGAACTCAGGACCTACACCTTGAGCCACTCCACCAGCCCTTTTTTGTGTTGAGTTTTTAAGAAAACTGAAACACTTAAAGCTGCTTGGTTAAGGTCCAGAAACCTGACACAAGCAAAGAATGAAGTTTGTTTTATTCTTTTTCTTTTTTTAGATGGGGTCTTGTTATG